GGTAAATGACTTAAAACTCTCTCTTACATGTTTCTCTGGATCTCTACACAAGATGTCCCATGAGGTCACTGAGAGGTTTAAATGAAGTGAATGATAATAATTATGAATATTCTTAAAATATTCCTATAGTTCTTTCACCATTACTATTTTTATTATCAGAATCAATTAAAATTCAAACATTCAGTCAGTATAACAGAATATCAGTACCGTTCTTATAATAATTCACATATGTACTGTTTAAGCCTTTTGGGGTTATATTTCTTTTTGTAATAGAAAGGTATTTCTATTTTTGAGCTCTACATGATTTAGTTCTAGTTTGTCATCTTTTGATCTTGTGAAGAAAATTTCTTTATTCCTTTATCTATATCTATATACCTATTCTTGAACTCCTTATCTAAGTGCAAAATCTCCAATAGACAGAGAAACAATAACCATAGGAAATAATTTTTTCCATATAGGTGTCCTTATTTTACAAAACATACTGTTCTGAAGCAATGCACATCCATATTTAATTTGCTACAGAATCATGGGCCACTTAAGTTCAGAAAAGTGATTTTCATCAAATGTTTATGCTAATCTGCATAATCTTTAGGGACTATTTTGCTTTATGACATTATTGAGATTTATGACACATTTCCACAAAAGTATGTGAGTATATGGTTCAGGAAACACATAAAAAGATGCTGAACTACCTCAGTGTAAAAACAAAATACTAAAGAAAGGTGATGAAAAGTTGGCAACCAGATTCCAGCAATTGTAAGCTATTACTACTAGGAGGTTCCTTTCATTAGTAGTTTTGTTTACATAAATACTGTAAGCTGGAAAAAACCTGTTTGCCATTTTGGCTGTGTCGCTACAGAATTGTTTTTAGTAAATAACATTATGCTCCTGTCTTTATGGCCAATAATTGAACAAGTCACATTGTGTATTGGACTTAGTGGAACAGTGAGAACACAGCTGTGCTATTTTATTTGTATGTGTCCAGGTTATATGTTTGTCCCTGAGAGGAAACAATAACTTTTAGAAAATCCTTCGAAATACAACAAGGCTTTGGAAGCTTTCCAAACACAGAAGTTTTCTGAGACATTATTTTACAAAGTGAATGATGTTTCATTCTTAATTTAGTAATAAAATTGTTCCTTGATCTCGGCTTATACAAAATGCTTTTTAACTAATAACTATAATCATAGTAATGAGTAAAAAGCTATTCTTTCCTTATGTAGCACATTAAAAAAATAAGCATTTCACTCCATTTTTGTACTTGGAGATTGAAAAGCTGATGCAGCTACTTGCCAGGCCAGGCAGTCCCACTTGTCAGCAAGACATATGCTTGACATATTTAGAATGGCGATAATTTCTGTCACATCAGTCATCTTTTCTCGCCAATTTCCTGGTCTAGTAAAATGCAGTGTGAGGTGACTAACAGAGATTAGGATGTTGCTTATGACTACCATGGTGAATTTCGTCAGATTCCTTAGTGTGAGGATAATTCTTGGCCTCAAATTTTCATAATTTTTTCATATAGAAAGATTAATGTAAGGCTATTCCTTTATGTTTATTTTTTTCATTTGGGTTTTGGTAGAATTTTCATTTAGTAAAATTTACTCTTTTTAATGTATAGTTCTGTAATAATAGTACAATCCGTGTAATCATCTGGGTATAGAACAGTGACATAATCCAAAAGCATGCAACTCTGTATTTTACCCAATTCACTCACTCCTTCCATTTTTTAGTGAGTGCTGACCTCTTTGCTGTTTCAATGGTTTTGCCTTTTCCAGAATGTGATATAAACACAACAATTTGCAGTGTGTAGCATTTTCAGCCTGGTTTATTTTACTTAGTCAGTACATTTGATGTTCATCTGGATTTCTGTTACTATTAATAGCTCTGCCCTTTTCATGGCAGAGTAATATTCCATTGTGTAAGCATATCTATTTTGTTAATCCATATCACAGGTCATAGACATTTGGATTTTTTAAAATTCAGGATTATTATGAATAAAGTTGCTATAAATATGTATGTACAAATTTCATATAAATATACTATCATTTTATTGCAGTTAATCTGATATCACTGGCTTAAATATTAAGTGGATACCTCACTCACTTCCTAAGAAACTACTCAACTGTTTTCCAAACCGGGAGTGTCCTTTTGTACTTTTCCCATCAATATGTCAATCTTCCATCTTTTCCTTCTTTCTAGCAATCTCTATATCAGCTTTTCAATTTATATTTTAGGAACTAGAGTGGGTATGTAATGGTATCACGTCATTGCCATTTTAATTTGCATTTTATATTGACCAACAACATTGGCTATTTTTTCTTGTGTTAATCTGCAAACATCTATGATTCTGTTCTACCTTCTACTCATTTTTATTGGGTTTTCTCATTGATGTTTTAGGTTGTAACATACATGCATTTGTATCTGTAAGCATTTTGGGTAAAAGTCTGTTATGAGATACGTGATTTGTGAATAATTTATCAAAACCTGTAGTTTCATTTTACAGTTTCTTATTGGTGTTTTTAGAACAACAAAATTTCAAGAAAAATTTTCTGTTGATGAAGCTCAACTGCACTATTTTCTTTCCCAAACTATGCTTTTATAGTCATATATAAGTCCTGCCTCTGTAAATTTGGCTTATATTTTCATCTAGAAATTTTATAATTCTAAGTTTATGGTACATTTGTGTTTATTTCTAAATATGGTATGATATATGAATTTGGATTCTTTGCACATAAATGTTAAATTGTTCCAGGACAAAAACCATTTCTATTAATTTACCTTTGTGAAAAACTGCAATTGTGGGACAGTATTTCGGTGTAAGTGGTAAAGCTGTTGCCTCTGATGCCAGCATCCCATACAGGCACTTGTTTGAGTCCTGGTTGTTATACTTCCAAACCAGCTCCATGCTACTGTTCCTTGAAAAGCAGTGGGAGATGGCCCAATTACTAGAGTCCCTGGTCCCATCTGGGAAATCCCGAAGCAGCTCCTGGATTGAGTCCCAACCATTGTGGCCATCTGGGGAGTGAACCAGCAGATGGAAGACATGTCTCTCTGTCTCTTGCTTCAACTCTCTCTTCCTTTCAAATAATTAAAATAAATCTTAAAAAAAATTAAATGTCTGTTGCATTTGAATAATACTCATGTCTATACTTTAAATAATATTTCAATTAATGAGTGAATATTGAAATCTGGCAGCATGAATCATGTTTCTTTTGTTCAAGATCATTTTAGATAGTCCAAGTCTTTTACACTTCCATATAAATTTTATAATTTTGTCAATTTCTACAAATTCAAAATAAGAATTTCATTGTAATTATGCTGAATCTATAGATTGGGGAAAACTAACATCCTAATATTATCAAGTCACATAATTCACAAATGTGTATATACCTGTATTTATTTTGGGCTTTGTAATTTTTGTGGGTTTCCATCAGACAGATCTTGTACATGCATTACTGTGTTTCTAAGTAAGCATTACAAAGTTTTGTTGGAATTTCAAATGGTGTTATTTCAATTTCATTACATTTAGAAATATGATATATGCTAAACTTGTATCCTATAATCTTATTAAGCTAAATAGAGCAAATATGAGAGAAATTATATTTTTCAAATTACTACTCAAATTTTAAATATCAGCAAGAGGAAGTATCATTTTTTGTTTCAGGGTTTATAGTGATAATAAGACAAAATAACAAACAATTCTAGTTCCATATATTTAAAAAGATAAAAGAGTCAGGTTTCTGGAAATATGCCAGACTACCAGCCACCAAAGTCTTTAAAGAAGAAATAGTTGATATGAGTATTTTTACATGTAATAATGGATTGGATTTATAATTTAAGATTTTGCAAAAAAAAAAAAAAAAAACCCCTCTAGGCCTAGATGGCTTTGCTGAAGATTCTACCATTTAGGGCAGAAAATATACCAGTTTGACACAAACTCTTCTACAAAAGAGAAGCGAAGGAAATATTTTCTAACTAAGTTATGAGGTAACAATTACCCTAATATACACACAAATTCATTAAGAAAAAAAAAAACTAGAGAACAATGTTGCTTCTGAGTATGTGTGCAAAATTCCTAAAAATACTACCAACTGAAATCCAGCCATATGTCAAAAGATAATCTATCATGACATATAAAATAGATACAGAACACTTGTTTAGTACTTGAAAATCAAGTCCTTTAAGTCAACTACAGACTAAAAGAGGGAATATGTAATCATTTCAATAAATAATTAAAATGTTTTAATTATTTATTTGAAAGAAATACAGAGAGAGAGAGAGAGAAAGAGAAGGAAGAGTGACAGAGAACTTCCATCTACTGGTTCACTCCCCAAATGGCTGCAATGACTGGAACTGGGCCAGGCTGAAGCCAGGAACCAGGAGCTTTTTCTGAGTCTCCATTGTGGGTGACAGGGGTTCAAGGACTTGAACTATCTTTCACTGCTTTCCCAGGAGTATTAGTAGGTAGTTGTTTTGGAAGTAGAGCATCTGTGACTTGAATTGGTACCCATACAGGATGCTGGCACCACAGGCAGTGACTTACCCTGCTATACCATAGTGCCAATCCCTAAAAAAACATTTACTAGATGTGGGCAACGTGCTGCAGAATGTTCAACCACCACTTTGCAGCTTGCATCCCATATCAGAGTGCCAAGGATAAAGTTCCTCATCTGCTTCTTCTAAACTGGGAGGCAGCAGATGATGGCTCAAGTGCTCTGACAACCATGCGGGAGGCCCTGATGGGATTCCAGGCTCCTGGCTATGGCCTCACCTAGTCCTGGCTATTGAGGGCATTAGGGGAATGCATGAACAAGTGAAAAATCTCTTTCTCTTACAAGGTGTCTCCCTGTCTGTGCATGCCACTCTGCCTTTCTAATAAATTTTAAAAAATTAATAGAAAATGATATACACTCATAGTTAGATAAATAGATTATCAGCATTTTTGCTATAGAAAAGAATTTCTTCATGCTAATTGAACTATTTTGCTCCAAAAACAGGAACATGACATAGCAGGAGCTAGATAACTTATTTTGTTATTCACATCCACTAATATACCGGGGGATCCTAGCCAGTGCATTAAGGTAAGACAAAGAAGTTTAAAGAATACAAATAAGAAACAATGAAAGAAAATTGTTTCATTGTAAATTATCTAAATGTTTACATAGAAATTGTTTTTTTAATATCAAAACTATCAAGAAATCACTTTAAAAATCTTAATAGGCATGACAACACTGTTACTTTGTAACTTTCATTTTCAATATGCATATATCATAATTATTTACAACACTCTCAAGGAGGAAAGGCAAAATTCCCCATAATTCAGTTATTATACTATGAAGTAGAAATTTTCAACCAGTTACGTTACCTGAGAAAATATTCTGTGGCTTAAATCTCTGTGTGTGCATACGTGTGTGTGTGTGTGTGTGCTCAACACATACAGATCTTGTCATCCTTTAGAACTGTTGCATAAATATTCTATTTTACAGATTATGAGTAATTTGGTTAATAAAATTCACTACTGACATATATTTAGTTTGTACGGTAAACACAGTTCAAAAATTAGTGTTCTCGCCCCTGTATACTGCAGACTTGTTTCTGAGACGTAGCTATCTTGCCAGATAGGCTATGTCTTTCCTTTCTTCTTTCCTGGGTAGAGCCATAGAATAAGTTCCCATCAACAGAGCCTAAATCTAAGTAATCTGCCTCACTTCTGAGTCAGTAAGAGCAAGAGAGAGACAGCAAGAGAGCGCGAGCGAGAGCAGAGTTTTCTGTACTCTGTTTCTTATCCTCTCACTTATTATCACTTTACACCCCTGATTTTCATGCAGTTTTCTATTTCACCATCACCAGGAAATACACTTTGAAGTTTATTAACTAAGACTAAACTCTGATAGCAGTGTTTTTAAAAACTGAGAGTACCCAACACCAATGCTGTGAGACATTCCCATTTTATATCACACTTTAATTTTTTTTTTTTTTTTTTTTGACAGGCAGAGTGGACGGTGAGAGAGAGAGAGAAAGAAAGGTCTTCCTTTGCCGTTGATTCACCCTCCAATGGCCGCCGCGGCTGGCGCGTTGTGGCCGGCGCACTGCACTGATCTGAAGCCAGGAGCCAGGTGCTTCCTCCTGGTCTCCCATGGGGGCGCAGGGCCCAAGCACTTGGGCCATCCTCCACTGCACTCCCTGGCCACAGCAGAGAGCTGGCCTGGAAGAGGGGCAACCGGGACAGAATCCGGCGCCTTGACCGGGACTAGAACCTGAAGTGCCGGCACTGCAGGCGAAGGATTAGCCTATTGAGCCGCGGCGCCGGCCTATATCACATTTTAGAAGTTATGTCACTGAGAATCAAACACAGAACAATGGGAAAAAATGACTCATAGAATGCTACCTGGTTTTGTTCTAAAGAAAATGTACAATGTGATGATGACAATTAAGTAGTGATATAAATAATAACTGATAGAATGATAGGGGAACAATGTATGTGATGGGTAAAGCCCTCTTCTATGTAAGCAAGATTGTCAGTTTCTAGTCTTAAGCTAGTTGTTAGAACATAAATATGAAATATCAAAATATGATAAACAGACTTTTTTCAAATATACAGATTAAAAAACAGTAAAAAAAAAAAAGAGCTAAAAGTGGAGTGTCCTTGGGGAGCAGCATGGGGCGGTATAAAACTATTGGACTTGTAAGCCTTATACCTATACTATTATTTTAACATCAAAAGTGATTGTTCAGGGGCAGGTGTCTGGCACAGCAGTTAAGATGGCGATGATGCCTCTATCTCAGACTGGAATGTCTGACTTATAAGTCTAGTTCAGTTTCCGATTCCAAGGTCTGGCAATGTGCACCTGAGAGGGCTCAAGAAATCCAGTCCCTCTCACCCAGGTGAGAGACTTGGATTGACTTCCTACATTATGGCTTCTCCTGGCCCAATATTAGCTGCCAGCATTTACAGAGTGAACTAGCCAATGTGAGATCTCTCCTCTTTCTTTCTATCTCTGAGTTTATGTGTATATTTTCTATCTCTCTGTCTTTCAAATAAAAAATTATTAATAAAAGATAGGAAGCACTTGGCATTTCTATGAGGTCTTCACATATAAAGTTATTTCAAAATGTTCACAGGAAAATGGAATTATAAAAAGTTTATTGAGGCCGGCGCCGCAGCTCACTAGGCTAATCCTCCACCTTGCGGCGCCGGCACCCTGGGTTCTAGTCCCGGTTGGGGCGCCGGATTCTGTCCCGGTTGCCCCTCTTGCAGGCCAGCTCTCTGCTGTGGCCAGGGAATGCAGTGGAGGATGGCCCAAGTGCTTGGGCCCTGCACCCCATGGGAGACCAGGAGAAGCACCTGGCTCCTGCCATGGGATCAGCGCAGTGCACCGGCCGCAGCGCGCTGGCAGCAGTGGCCATTGGAGGGTGAACCAACGGCAAAAAAGGAAGACCTTTCTCTCTCTGTCTCTCTCTCTCACTGTCCACTCTGCCTGTCAAAAAAAAAAAAAAGTTTATTGAGCACAAAATATTTTGAAATCCATGTATATTAGGGGGTTTTCAAAAAGGTTATGAGCGCCTGGCGCTGTGGCTCAGTGGGTGAAAGCCCTGGCCTGAAGCAACAGCATCCCATATGGGCGCCGGTCCTAGTCCCGGCTGCTCCACCTCTGATTCAGCTCTCTGCTATGGCTTGGGAAAGCAGAAGATGGCTCAAGTCCTTGGGCCCCTGCACTGGTGTGGGAGACCAGGAAGAAACTCCTGGCTCCTGGCTTTGGATCAGCACAGCTCCAGCCTTCTGGCCAACTGGGAGGGAACCATCAGATGGAAGAACTCTCTCTCTCTTTCTCTGTCTCTTCTCTCTCTGTGTAACTCTGACTTTCAAATAAATAAATACATCTTTATAAACAAAACAAAAAGGTCATGAAATATATGTATTATGGTTAAAAGTAGGCATGGATTTTGCACTCCAATAAACTTGTTTTAACTATTTTTTTCCATGAACTTTTTAAATGACCCTCATATAACCAATGAAAATTTTAGATTCTTTCTGAGGGATTTCATGAAATAAACATATCCAATAATTTATTTTTTTGTGAAGATTATTTTAGTCACTTTTATTTCTTGTACTCCAAGGATATTTTAATCCTTTTATCTTTTTCTTGCCTCAATATAATTGTGAATACTGTTGAGACAACAATTTTTAATATAGCTCTAGGCTGTGATTAGCCAGACTACAAAACCACACTTAGAAATTTAACTTTAGGGAATAAAAGATAATAGATGACACCATCAGGAAGTATATTAATGGTGGGATATATTCATGGTTTTTCTGTTTTTAAAGTCTTATTAAGAAAGACCAGCCTGTAATACACAGGGAAGGAAATGTAAGGTGAATGTCCCCACTCAAAGAGAAGATCACACAATCCAATTATTACTTAGAAGTGGTGCTGAGAGAAAGAAATGTAAAAAAACCAAAAAGAATGACAACTAAGAGATTAGTATTTTAACCATAAGTGCTACCCACAGGGGCAGATTACATATATTTGCATATTTAAAGGCAAACTAAATAAAGCTGCAGGAATCCTCGGAACAAAAAGTAATAACCTTATGGGATATTTCAAGGATATATATAAGAATAAAATCCATATTTCTCCTAAAGAAGAGAAATTATTATTTTAATAAATATAAGTGCTCAAGATTATCTTCTCAATGAAAGAAAGTACTTCAGTAAGAAAAATTATTTCCGCAAGAAAATTTACTCTGAGCATGCGAGCAACCTCATAAAAATCTTAATTGTCCCCAATTTCCATTTTTTACGCTCATCATATGTACTCTACAAAGGTAGAAGTAGAGATATAATGAAGCTTTCCAAAAGAAGGATGTTAAATCTTTTGGAAAAATTGGCTGGAACTCAGAACTCTGTATGAGCAGCAGCAAGAGGAGCCTTTAGAAAGGAAAAGAGGACTTGGTCAGTACCTACAAGAAACTCCTTTTAACATCTTGGCATAGGGACAAGTGAACTGCAGAAAGCCCATGGAAAAATGGTATTACAAGACAAGGTATTTTGCTACAAAAATGTTTGAAGTCTATGTGTAGGTTTAAATGAGTTTTCCATGAACTTTTTGAAGCATTTTGTAGATCAGCTAGGGAAAATGGCTTTGGATTTCATTTGCCAGATAACATAAATTTTAAAATTAATTAATCAATTAATGGCCTATTCATTTCACATGTTGCTAAATAATCAAAGCAGGGTCTATTACCGAAGACTACTCCAAGAAGATTAGTGTTACTGTTATACCTAAAAGTGTGAAAGTGATCTCCTTCTCCCTTTGCATGCTTTTATCTTTTCTAGGGCATGACCTGCCTAGAAGAGGCAAAGTCATGAGGTCTACTTTTCAAATAGCAGTTTACCATAACATGAAGCCTAGCTATATTGTTTCACACAGTCAACTGGAGAAAACCAACTTTTGCTTGAACTGATTTTCCTGGGACAAGATAGGTAGTGAAGGCTAAGTGGGCATCATTTCCTAAGAAGTTTACTTCTTGCCCCTTGCTACTATCCTTCTCCAGTACTTAGGTCTATATTAAGTTGCATTGATTAATCTTGATTTTTCTGTCACTATGCAGAACTTGCAGCCTGAGAGTGTAGACGGAAGGAAATAGTTGAGTTCTCTTTGAGGGAAGGAATGTACCTACGCAAAATTTCTTTCAGTTAGTTCACAGGTGAGTGATTCATGGGCTTGGTTAATTTATTTAAATTACTATTCTATAAACTTCCAAACATCTCTGATTTTATAAACAAAAAAACTTTACTTAAATAATTCTCTGGATGACAGATGTCTTATACAATGCATATTAATAGGGATCAAGTCAAAAATAAGATTAAATATTTAAAATATTGATTATGCACATAATTTTATAATGTTTTGTGTATTTGGGGAAATCAAGACATAGTCAGGGGAGAGAATATTAGAAATCCATTATGTAAGTTAAGATTACCCTCATGCTAAGTTTCAAACTAAATCCCCTTTCACCAATGGATGTTTTGCTACTTGGAATATTACCAAATGGTTGATACTAAACAACTGAATATTCAAAGAGTTGATTGCCCTCAAGAACAATTAATCTGTCCTTAGTGTAATAAAAACTGGTTTCCTTGGCATATTGCAGTTTAGAAAATAATTGAATGAAAACATTACAAGGCTAGATACTGGACCTGTTTGATAGTCCCAGTGTTTTAGCAGTGTCTAACACATGGAAATGTCAGTAAATATTTAGAAAACGAAAGTGCATTTCTAACTTACTTCAATTTGTTGTGCATACACCTGAAAAATAAAAAGAGACCGACCTCTCAATGAAGATATGATTAATGACTTTGTCTTTTAACATAGGAAAGCTCTGAGTTATTGTTTTTGTTTTCTCACGTGAAAGTCTTGACATTCCACTGGATTGTAAATCCCTGAATCATAAAGATTATAATGTATTTATGTGTAACTTTAACTATCAGTGCAATGTTTTTCTAACATTAGTAATTTCGTAAGTGTTCAGTGTTTATAATAATTACAATGTTAACAAGTTGAAAACTCGAAAATTTTTTAAAATTAAAATAAGGTTAACAAAATGATTTATACTACTACAGGGTAAACTGTCAGGTACACTTCTTAATTCACACATTCATTAAATACTTATTGATTATGTAGTATAATATATATTGTGCCATGTAGACGATGCTCAACAAAAGCAGACAGTGTTTCATCCTGGCGCTGATAGTTTAACAAGGATACAATCAAACAATAGAAAAATAAATTAAAATTTTAATTGTATGAGCCATGGATAAGAGGAACTCAGTGCATGAGAGAATTAATAAGGGCATCCCAGTCAGGGATATCATCGAAAATTAATTCAAGGAAGCAACACAAGTTGAAATCTCATTTATCAGGAGTTAACTTGATATGGTGAAAACCATCTAAGGGACCTCTTAAACTGTAAATTGTGATTCAGGAAGTCTGAGATGGTGCCTGAATTTCTATATTTCTAACAAGCTCCCAGGTGAGGTTCATGTTGATGATGTAAGTAACACAATTCGAGTAGTACTAATTTTTGAAAGGGAACAATAAAATAGATTTTGAAAGAAAGAAAAGAAGAAAGAGAAAGGGAGGAAAAGTGGGAGGGACAGAAGAAGGAAGTATCATTACATTCTTTTTTAAAAAAAAAGATTCATGTATTTATTTGAAAGTCAGAGTTAGAGAAGGTGACAGATTTCTTCCATCCACTGATTCATTCCTCAAATGGCCACAACAGCCTAGGCTGGGTCAGGGACTTAACCTGGTACGCCACAATGCCGGCTCTCATCATATTCTTAGAATTGTGTCTGTGGACTAATTTGAATCTGTTCTGTTTGTATTAAGTTCCCATTAACATGAGAACTGATGAGAATTGTCTTTTAGCAAGTATAATCCATTTACTGTGACCTCAAGAACCTAATGTATTAACAAATTCCTTAAAAAATATTTAGGGTGAAAATACAATTAATGCTTCAAGACAATTTAGACATCATATCCCTGGGAGGTTTGTTTCCATGAACAGTCCAATTTTCCTATGTGGATGCAATCTATGGACTTTGAGACCAGTGTCTTGTCCACTGTTAGCAAACAGATAAACAGCAAAAATCCAAGCCAGCAAGCACAAATCCTTTTTAGGGAAGGAAAACCAAAATTGTGGTCACTGTTAGAATTTTTGAAAGAGATATGGGAAATCCAAACCATCTTTGAACAACTTGCAACACTTTTTGCAATTTTTTTTTATTTAGTAAATATAAAATTTCAAAGTACAGTTAATGAATTACAATGGCTCCCCCCCCATAATTTCCCTCCCACTCACACCCATCCCATCTCCCGCTCCCTCTCCCATTCCATTCACATCAAGATTCATTTTCAATTATCTTTATATACAGAAGATCAATTCAGTATATATTAAGTAAAGATTTCATCAGTTTGCACCCACAAAGAAACACAAAGTATAAAATACTATTTCAGTACTAGTTATAGCATTACTTCACTTTGGACAACACATTAAGGACAGATCCCACATGAGAAGTAAGTACACAGTGACTCCTGTTGTTGACTTAACAATTTGACACTCTTGTTTATGGCGTCAGTAAGTTGCCAAGGCTATGGAAGCCTTTTGAGTTCGCTGACTTCGATCTTATTCTGACAGGGTCATAGTCAAAGTGGAAGTTCACTCCTCCCTTCAGAGAAAGGTACCTCCTTCGTTGATGGCCCCATTCTTTCCACTGGGATCTCACTCGCAGAGATCTTCCATTTAGGTCTTCTTTTTTTTTTTTTTTTTTTTCCAGGGTGGCTTGGCTTTCCATGCCTAAAATACTCTCATGGGCTCTTCAGCCAGATCCGAATGCCTTAAGAGTTGATTCTGAGGCCACAGTGCTGTTTAGGACATCTGCCATTCTATGAGTCTACTGTGTATCCCGCTTCCCATGATGGATCGTTCTCTCCCTTTTTGATTCTATCAGTTAGTATTAGCAGACACTAGACTTGTTTGTGAGATCTCTTTGACTCTTAGACCTATCGGTGTGATCAATTGTGAACTGAAATTGATCACTTTGACTAGTGAGATGGCATTGGTACATGCCACCTTGATGGGATTGTATTGGGATCCCCTGGCATGATTCTAACTCCACCATTTGAGGCAAGTCCGATTGAGCATGTCCCAAATTGTACATCTCCTCCCTCTCTTATTCCCACTCTTATATTTAACAGGGATCACTTTTCAGTTAAAATTTAAACACCTAAGAATAATTGTGTGTTAATCACAGAGTTCAACCGATAGTACTAAAACAAAACAAAGAATAAATACTAAAATGGATAAAGTATTACATTGTACATCAACAGTCAGGACAAGAGCTGATCTAGTCACTGTTTCTCATAGTGTTCATTTCACTTCAACAGGTTTCCCCTTTGGTGCTTAGTTAGTTGTCACCGATCAGGGAGAACATATGGGTTCCAAGAGCATGACTCCAATGTGCATTGCCTTTTGCCAAAGTGACCATGCAGTCCCCAGAGGCAGCAAGGTGCAGGAACAAGGGCAAACCTTCCAGCTTCCAAGGCCAGGTATTTGATTTCTTGTAAATGTGTAAGAAAGCCTATGTGGGGTGGGGATTAGAATTCTCTCACCCATTATAGTTTTATTATGCCTTTTTATATTCTTAATATTTCTCTCTGAAATCATCATCTAACACACCAAGGAGGGTATGTTAAAAGCTAAATAAGGAAACAAAAGGCAGAGCCGAAATGAAACATAAATAAATAAACTGTTTTCCATTATAATTCTATTTAGGGTGGAGAATGCTTAATACAGGCTTAAGTCTTTGAAATAAAAAAAATGTTAACTGATTCACTCAGAATACTCTGGTAAATTCTATGTTTTTTTTCTTATGTCCTTAAATTTTTATATAATAATATTGAACTTTCTAACAATATGAATTTTATTAAGAAAACAAAGTGATATGAGTAGTTCCTAAAGTCTACAATAAAACCAGACAAAAAATAGGCAGTGATCTTCATTGCAGGCACTATAAAGTGAGCAGCTGAGTAGAGAGTTAGCCAAACAGAGGCCCAGCCCGTATTTGTTTTAATACTTAAAATGACAGTGCAAAGCATTTTTGTTCTCTTGCTGATTTATGTTTTCATGAATTTACCTGATCTTATCATAATGTTATTCATTTCAATTTTATTATTCAATATTCATACTCAAGATACCAATGTCTAGACAGGTCTTATCAAACACTGTTTGCTTTTTCTAGTTCATATTCCTTAATCTTAGAAGTATATTTCTTTTATAGATTAAATTTTTTTCACTTTAGTTTATCCAAAGCCTTATTTTCATCCATACAGAACCTTCTTGTTTTCTTCTCTGACAGCAAAGGGTACTTTGATTGATAGAATTCAGTCACTAAGTTGAAATAATACAGCTGGCTTTTATCTTACATTAGTATGTCTTTTATTATTTTCACCTATTATATGAGAAAGAATGTGACAGAAATGTAATGATTTTAGTTATCCCACCTGGGCACATAATTCTGTCCAAATTATAGAACACAGAATTTGCAAAAAGGAGCCTGCAGATCCTGAGTTAGGAGTTGCAAAGGACACATAGGGAAAAGGATAACAGAGTTCAAGGGAAACATGCCAATCACTAATTACAAAGCAATTTGAACTACTAAAAAGTCATATACTTGAAGGCATATACTCATTGAAGAATTAAAAGTTGAACGGGTTGGTGTTTGGCATGGTGGGTTAAACCACTGCCTGGGGTGCTGGCACTCCATATGGGCTCCAGTTCAAGTTCTGGCAGATTCACTTCCAATCCAGATCCCTGCTAATGCATCTAGGAAAGCAGAAGGTGGCACAACTTCTTGGGCCCCTGCACTAACGTGGGAGACCTGGACGACACTCCTGGCTTCAGCCTGGGCCAGCCCTGGCCGTTGTGGCCATTTAGGGAGTGAACCAGGGAATGGAAGATTCTCTCTCACAATTCTTTCTCTCTCTCTCTCCCTCTCTCTCCCTCTGTGTGTGTGTTTCTCCTTCTATTTGTAATTCAGCCTTTCAAACATATAAATGAATCTTCTAAATTAAGTTTGTATTTTTAAAAGATTTTATTTATTTATTTGTGAGGTAGAGTGGCAGACAGAGAAAGGGAGAGACAAAGGTTTTGCATTCAGTAATTCACTCCCCAAATGGCCACAACGGTCAGAGCTGGTCTGATCCAAAGTCAGGAGCTTCTTCTGGGTCTCCCACTTGGGTGCAGGGCCTCGAGAACTTGGGCCATCTTCTACCGCATCCCCAGGCCATAGCAGGGAGCTGGATCAGAAGCGGAGCAGCTGGGACATGAACTGAACCAGTGCTCATTTGGGATCCCAGCACTGCAGGAGGAAGTTTAGCCTACTATGCCACAAAGCCGGCCCCTGAAGTTTATATTTTTTGTTTCTAAAATCCCTTTGTAATTGATGAAACAATATTTTAGGCAGGTTTTGAAAAATATAAAGATAAGGTCAACATTATTTATTAGACATTTTATAAGAAAAACCAGCTATCTAGAACCCAAGCAGTAAATTCACTTGTCAGTGTTTTTAGCACATTCACATTCTGCAGTTGACCACAATGACAAAGAAATACCAAAAAAGAATAAGAAGAACCAAAAAATAGGAGTTAACAAGGCAGTAATGCCAAACAATTAAAAGCAATCTTGATGACACATTGATTCACATATGCAGTCTGTTAGTTAGTAGCCATGCGAATCACCCTGGAGAGGTCATTGGATCTTTCTAAGTCTCAAGTTTCTCATCAGTAATGTGACTTATCATTAGAATATAATAATGTCATAAATCTTTTATGAAGAAAAATTAAGACAATATTGGCAAAATGCCAAGCACATCTCATTCTTATATTACAGCTACATTTCTGAAGATAATGTTCATTACCTTTCTAGGATTCATTTTTTAAGGTATATGATATTAGATACACACTTTTCTTCAGTCAATGGAGTTATGGAATGAAACCTGCTCATCACAACATGATGTGTAAACATCAGGAGAGCTAACTGTAATCTTTATTACGAGAACATGCCAGTGGTTAAGTTGTTAAAGTCAGAATTAAGACTGACTTACAACTTCTACTTAATAGTTTGATTATCTTTTGCTTTAATATCTAAAGTTATTTTGGACCTCATGGCTTTCAAAGGCAATGGAAATATCAGTTGTACCTACTTCACAGGATTATTGGAAGAAAGATATAGATGTATATGATAGCACTTTGGGTACATGTAAAAGTAGTTAACTGAATAAACAAAATACTGTACTTCAACTATTTAGGATAAATGCATCTACGTGTTGTAGAGAAAATATGGAGAATAGGTAACGCATTCAAAGTTATTAAGCATATAGAAATATGCAGGACTGAAATATTAGGTCATAATTTTCAAAAAGTCAGTTTTTATGAGATGTTGATCCAAGATACTTTCCTACTCCTTGCTGCATCTTTCAGAGCATTTCATCTATCTGTAAGTTAAGTAATATCTCTGTCTTCCAGAAGCACTTAGTCTGAAAGGGGACATAATCATACATACATATAAATAATTAGCCACATCTTCATGGATGATTTTCAAGTGGGAAGTTACACTAGAATTAAAGTTCAGGGGAAGGAAAATAATACCATAGAGTAGAGTATCATAGAGTATCATCAGAGTAGCTTGATTACATTTCATTAATGTTATTTATGATTGTTGATGTGCCCATAGGTGCTGGACATATTCAGATATGTGAAAAAAATACAAAGAAAAGGAATGAGGAGATCATATAATAATCAGTAGAAATGTCTAATGGGTGCAATGATGTAAGTAACATAAGTGGTTGCATGCAGAGTCGAAACGAAAGTGGGGCCGATAACAATATATTATAGCTGTGTGTTTGGACAAATCCATTCTCTAGCTGAAAACACCAAAAGTCAAATATTTACTTGCTATAACTAGCCTACAGAACATGACAACTTAGCAACATAGTACACTAAAGAAAGGGAATTATTTGTCCTCTTGATCAGGAGCTCAATGTTTCTGTTCAGCATCAGAGGAGAGTATAGTAAGATACATCAGCAGCCTTGGAAGGAAATTTAGATATTTTATTGAGGGGTTGACGCCATGGCTCACTTGGTTAATCCTCCACCTGTGGCGCTGGCATCCCATACAGGCGCTGGGTTCTAGTCCCGGTTACTCTTCTTCCAGTCTAGCTCTCTGCTGTGGCCCCAGAGGGCAGTGGGAAGGATGGCCCAAGTGCTTGGACCCCTGCACCTGCATGAGAGATCAGGAGGAAGCACCTGGCTTCTGGCTTCGGATAGGCATAGCTCCGGCCATAGTGACCATTTGGGGGGTGAACCAACAGAAGGAAGACCTTTCTCTCTGTCTCTCTCTATCTCAATATCTAACGCTATCTGTCAAATAAATAAATAAAAATAATAATAATAATAATAATAATAAAAAGATATTTTATTGAATGAGCATTGCTTTTGCATCACTACAAAATAATAAAAAGAGTCAGTTGTACCATCATAAATTTTGGCAATCTGTATTCAATGTGTTAATATTACCATTGGGGTGGGGAAAATCTCAGCCTGCAGAACGTATAAGGCCCAAAAAAACCATTTGGCCTGGTCCTGCCAAGCAAACCACTGGTGGAACCCAAAATTTAGTAAATCTATAGCAGGCTAATTTTTAAGTTGATAATTTTGTATGGCTTGTGAGTAATGTTATAAACATCCAAATTCCCCATTGCTTTAAGATGCTCTGTTTCTTCCAGTAGACTATAAAGTCCCCTAGTGTAGAGCATTTTCCTCTCATCTGATCTGGATGCCAAGCATGGTGCATGGCTTCTTAAACCATCTGGTAATCAATTATTACAGCTTTTGTATAACATATCCATACTAATGGAATTTGCAGACTCAAGAGCAAAAGACAAATAAATAATTATAACATCCAATGGAATTTTTTATGATAGGGGAAATACAAGATTCAGTGGGAAAAAAACATGAGAGATGCTTTGGAAGATGTCCTGAAGCAAATTACATCTAAATTGAGACCAAAACATGCTAAGTAGAAAATTACCCAGCTGAGTGGGACAAGGCGTATTCTAAAAAGAGGAGTAACATGAAAGGGGAGTTTCAATTTAGAAACAACATGCATAATCAGGGAACTAAGAGAAATGTGGCCTGACAAAAATACAGATCATAAGGAAGGAAAGAAAAGCCTAGAGAAGTTCAAAAACTACATTAAGGAATTTAGGAATTAAACTAAAAGTAATAGGAACCACTTGACATCTAGGAGAAACGAGAATGGAAACAGAACAAAGTCCTTGAGGATGGCAGAAGTAGGTGAAGGAAGACACTGTTTAACAAAGAAATGATTTAAAAAATTGAAATCTTGTCTTTTGCAACAAAATGGATTCAGCTAGAGACCATTATTCTCAGTGAAATAAGCCAGTCCTAAAATGAGAAGTATCATATGTTTTCCCTGGTTTGTGGTAACTAATAATGTAGAGTACTCTAGGAATGAAATTAACATTTTGAGATTTGATCATTGTTTATAGCCCTGTCAAAAATCTCAGGGAACAGTGGCTTTTCTACCAGCTGCTTGTTGAATTCTTGCTTTGGTGGAGGGTTAGGCTTCTGAGTATTAAGTTAATTGAAAGTATGTCATTGTGAAAGCTAAAAGAAAAAGAAGAATAAGGAGGGTACAGGTGGGGAGAGGGAGAAGAGTGGGGAGTATCCTGCTCTTAAAATCGTATATATGAAATACATAAATTTGTTCCCTTTATATAAATTTTAATATATATATATACACATAAGAAAGGGATTATTCACAACAAAAGGAAGGAAATATAGATATGATATGATTGAAGGTACATTTATTGTTTTAGATATCACTATATTGTGAGAGTACTCACTCTATGGCTTCTATTTTTTCTTGGAAAGAATAAATGAGGTCATAGTCTCAGAACTAAGGAGAAGATAGCACAGTCAGGGGTTTACAAGGAACAAAAACGTTAGAAATAGTCTTTGTGGAGCACACAAATGACAGCTGAGTCAGGAAACACTGAAATAGTTCTTAGGAGGCTTTGAAGTTTGAAAATAAAAGTGTGTTTCTACATTTGTTTGATTTCTTTCTCCAGAAGTACAATAGCAAAGAACAGAATATTTCAAAGATAGATCAATCAAGGATTGGGAACTCAGTAATTTCTTTTATTGAGTAATAAATAAATGAACCAATAAATTATACATAAAGCTTTTATTGTAGTGAAAAACAGCACTCTAAACCAAAGAAAATGGGGTACTACCACGAAACCTTTGCAATGATTTGAATAAACCATTATTTCAGAAAGGTATGCCTGGTGGGAACAAGAAGGAAAGTTCAGAATGACATATAGAGTGTTCAGGGATGAGTCAATTGATTATTAACAAGTTCTCATGTGAAATGACAAATTTCTGAGGATGCCAGTAAGAATGGGAAAAGAAAAACACCTCTATTTTTGTTCCCGAGTTTCATTCTGAAAATTTCCAAGTACAAAATGTATAAGACTGCTTTAGATATTTGGGGTCTCTTGTGGTTCCATATGAATTTTAGAATTGTTATTTTCTAGATCTGCGATGAATGTCCTTGGCATCTTGATTGGGATCACATTGAATACGTAAATTGCTTTCAGTAGTACGGACCTTTTGATGATATTGAATCTCCCAATTCATGAACATGGAAGATTTTTCCATTTTTAAGAGTCTTCTATTTCTTTCTTTAACGCTTTTGCAGCCTTCATTGTAGAGATCTTTGACCTCCCTGGTTAAATTTATTCAGTTATTTTATTCTTTTTTTTTTTTTTTTTTTTGTAGCCATTGTGATTGGGATTGAGCTTAGAAGTTTTTTCTCAGCCATGGCATTCTCTGTGTATACAAAGGCTATTAATTTTTTTGTGTTAATTTTATATCCTACCACTTTACGAAATCATTTTATGAATTCCAATTGTCTCTTATGGAGTCTTTTGGATCCCTTATAGATAAAATCATGAATCTGTAAGTATGGATAGTTTGGTTTCCACCTTTCCAATTTGTATCCCTTTGATTTCTTTTTCTTTTCTAATGGCTCTTTACATATTTCTTTCTTTTTTTTAAATAAAAAAGCTTTATTTATTTATTTGAAAGGCAGAGTTACAGAGACATGGAGGCACAGAAAGATCTTGTAGCCACTGGTTCACTCCCCAAATGGCCACAACTGCTGGCACTAGGCCAATTGGAAGCCAGGAACTTCTGGATATCCCACAGGGGTGCAAAGGCCCAAGTACTTGGGCCATCTTCTTCTGCTTTCCCAAGCCATAGCCCAGAGCTGGATTAGATATAGAGCAAATGGATCTTGAAACAGCATCCATATGGGATGCTGGTACCACAGGGGCAGCTTTACTGCTATTCCACAGCACTGGGCCCCCTTTGCCTATTTCTTTACTTGCTTGTTTTGTTGTTATTGTTGTTGTTTGAGTTCTTTGAGCTTAGATTTGATACTATAATATCATATAACATAGTATAAATATATATAGTATAATATACATAGTATATAGTTAATGTAGTATAAGATAAATATTGTATAATATAGTATAAATATATTTGAGAAATTTGAAATTAATAAAATTGATAAACTTTGAACTCAAGAATAAGTAATAATAAATAGAGGGAACACAAATGTTTGAACATCAGTAATCAGAGAGGTTATTATTAGAATCACATGAATCTGCATTATCCACCATGGCTAGCCTTATATACATGCACGTATGTAAATTTAATTCAATTAAAGTTAATCTGTAAAAGTTTAGTTTCTCATTTGCACTAGCCTCAGTAGCCACGGCTGGCCAGAGACCCCCATACTGGTTAATAGAACAGACAGTTCTATTGGACAGTGTTGCCATTAAAGGGAAAATAGAGAATGTTATAAACAAGTTTATATTAGCAAATTTAACAACATATGGAGACAAGTCTATAAGTAATATGATTTACCAAAACTGACTTAGGATGAGAGAAAATCTAAATAGCTTATACGTGTTAATTAAAAATTGATAAAACTATATGACTTAGTTATTCTATTCATGGAAATAAGTCCAAAGGAAATGAAATTATCGTATGAAAGATCTACCTGGGTTGTAATATTTATAGAAGCACAATTCACAATAGTGAAGATTCTGAATCAACTATAAAAAAAAGAAGGAAATCCTGACATTTACAGCAAAATGGATGTAATTGGAGATCATTATGCTAAGTAAAATAAGTCAAACCCAGAAAGGCAAGTCTCATGTTTTTTCATATTTGTGGGAGCAGACTTATCATTCAGTGTCAAGTTATAAATATTACTTCACTGAATCAGACCATATAAATAACAATACATTTCTCTTTCTCAATATTATGATCATTGTTATGAATCCCTCATTCTGATATTAACCTGTTTTCAAGAGAAAATAGTATATTTGTATAAGTATATAATGTCTTATTTGAATTGAATGTGGCAAATGTTAAAAAACATTACAAAATAAAAAATGCTTCACTTAAATGTTTCATATAGATGAGTCCGAATTTTCAATTCATTCTAAAATTTTAATATATAGTAAGCTAATAATTAATATAAATATTATTATGATTATATTTATGCCTATATTGCTTTTTATTGGTTTCCTCCATATTTTCTTCTTAGGCTCTACAAAACCTGCCTTCTTTTAGATTTTATGATTATTTTAAAATTTCATCTTACATACTTTTTAAAATTTTTTTTTTGTTTTTGACAGAGTGGACAGTGAGAAGAGAGAGAGACAGAGAGAAAGGTCTTCCTTTTGCTGTTGGTTCACCCTCCAATGGCCACCGCCGGCACACTGCGGCCGGCATACCGCGCTGATCCAAAGCCAGGAGCCAGGTGCTTATCCTGGCCTCCCATGGGGTGCAGGGCCCAAGCACTTGGGCCATCCTCCACTGCACTCCCTGGCCACAGCAGAGAGCTGGCCTGGAAGAGGGGCAACCGGGACAGAATCCAGCGCCCCGACCGGGACTAGAACCCGGTGTGCCGGTGCCGCAAGGCAGAGGATTAGCCTGTTGAGCCACAGAGCCGGCCCATCTTACATACTTTTTATAGGCCTTTAGTTTGTGTGTGACTCATATACACATCATACACATATTTTAGTGTCCACAGCCTTAGATTTAATATTTCAGTAGTTCACATGAAAGGCAGAAAACCTACAACTAAATAGGTTCATGTACTATCTGTACTCTCCCTCTGTCTTAACACCATGTTACAGTTGCCAGGTTTAATACATATATATATAATTACAAATGTATAGGACAATGTTATAATTTCTTTTTCCAACTAACCTGTATAGTTTAAGGAAATTAGGACAAAAATGCTTTGTGTTTTAGCTATAGAGCCTGGAAGAAAGAATGCAACATCAATCATGATCAAAAATTTCCGTAATTCTATGAAAATGCATATTTGCATATATCAGAATTTCAGATGAGAGAGATGCAACCCCAGCATCCCATATAGGTGCTGGTTCAAGTCTTGGCTGCTCCATTTCTAATCCTGTTCTCTGCTAATGGTCTGGGCAAAGCAGGGAAGTTTGGCCCAACTGTTCACACCCCTGCCACCCATGTGCAAGACCTGGATGAACTTTTTTGCTCCTGGCTTCTGCCTGTCTCAGTGCTGCCCATTGTAGCCATCTGGGGAATGAGTCAGTGGTTGTAAGATCTGTCTCTCCTTCTCTCCATATAATTCTGACTTTCAAATAACAAAATAAAAAAAAAATCAGAGATAAAGAAAGCAAAAGACAATAATAACCTAAATAACTTTTGAAAGCACTCTTATTTGAGTTTATCATGTTGCTAGTATCAGTCCAAATACTATGAAAGCTATCTTGGGGGACATGATGTGTAAGGCAAGCTCCCTAACTAGAGTTTACAGCCGACTGTTACCTGATAATGCCAGAACTGACTGTTTTCAACAATCTGAACATGTGCCTCAGACACATTTTTCAGTTTTTTCTACTTAGGAGACTAGCTTTCAGCTCATTAGCTTATCATAATTCTCTGACTTATATACAGTGTGGGCAAAGCTTCTTCTGCCCTAGCAGAAATCAATTCACCAAGATGGACGAGGACGAGTATGTCTCACTCTTATGGTCTTTTCTCAAAAGGAAAGCTTTCTTGATATTCCTTTCAGCAGTCAACCCAGGGACTGATGGTTATCAGTGTGGTGCACTTCTAAACTGTACAGTCTCTAAAAAGTGGATATGTAGGCTTCAATGTCATGAGATCCAAACTACTTGCATTTTGGTGTTTGCAGATGTAAGGTACGTGAAATTGCTTTCCTTTTTCCTACACATGGTAAATCTTCTGACAATAGCACCCTTAAGAACAAATATGGGATAAGTAGTTGTGGACATTTTAAAAAATTCAAATGCATAAAGCCACATGGATGTATAATAATAATCTTACATAATTCACAAAATTGTACTGAATAGTGATAATACTTCCATCATTATTAACATTTAACTATCTCAACATTGTGTCTACTTTCGAATTTCATATTTGATCTTTAGGCATTTATTCATCACACACTCACAGATATAATTATTTCAGCGAAGGCAAATAACTCTCTTTAGAAAAAATATAGAATCCTGGAATAATACCTTTCTTATCTATCTGCATTATGTATGTATATCTTTTTATGCTTTAAGAACTAAAAGAAAAATGTTTAATTAACACACCAAACAGAAACATCTAAGATGTTTTCTGGGGTCTGTAGAAAATCTGAACATTTGAGATTTTTTTTCTTTTTTCCCACTTCGTAGTATATTTGCTATTTTCTTGTGCTGTCAGTGTTCCAAAATACTATTGTTTTACGTATATTTAAATCTATGAGGTTTCCCATTTTGTAATTGAAGTGCAGTGATAAAACATTTTTACTAATTCTTCAATTTCATCAGTGAAGGAATCAGAATTCAAGTCTAGGTCTATACAATTTTACAGACTTTGCTCATGTAAATTCAATATATGAGAAAAGAAAGGTTTTGTAAAGAGCCTTGTATTTAGACAGCATTAATTTTATTTGAATTAGGAAATAACAGGTATGGAGAATTTAACAAATTGACTGAATATGATAAAAAGACTATTGAAACTAAAATAATGTCCACTAAATATTCTGAAATGTTTCCTAAATCTAAAATTAAATTTAAGAATATTTTTGTTCCACCTAAGAGGAAAGGATTCATTTAATAATAAGTTGTTTATAGGGTACATTATCTGTCATAAGTAATGGTAACTGTTCTTCTATCTTTACACAGTGTTGCCTTCATTGTAAAGTATGAGGCTATTGAAAAGCAATAAATCCCAGTCTTGAGAAACAGAGTGTAAAGTTAAGAGTAATTCCGGGGAAGCAGTTTTATGAAACAGTTTTAATTCATCTGCTTTCTACCAGGGCAAAGTCCTTTATTTCTCAGTCAATTTAAAATATTTGGACCTACAAATATTAAGTAGATATCAGTGGTTCAGTAGAAGAAAACAAATAGAACAAAAACAAATAAATACTAACTCTGGTTTCCTGAGATTTATAATATGGAGATGTTTAATTTTCATTTTGGGAACGAATAAAGACTTCATGTTAAAGAGGAGTTTTACTAGGTGTCAGGTGATTAATTTCCAAGTCCACAAAAGAATAAGCTCAAGAGTTATCATCAAGATGAGCCTGCCTAGAGACAAATGGAAAATGCCATGTTTCAAGCCAAGGGAAACAAAAGAACCTCTGAGGATATTTATCTCCATTCATGGGTATAGGTATGTCATTTCTCTCTTCAACACTACTTATCTGAAAGACAGCATTGCTACACTCATTTCTGGGGGAGGGGTAGTATTCTTTACAGTCTATATTTTTGCAACAAAATTGAAATGCAAGGAATAAAAAATACTTCTGATAGATTTATTATTGGATAGATTATATTATTGGAATATACATTCCTTGCCTGATAGAAATACGAGAGTAACTATTTTGGAGGTAGGATGCATATTTCAGGGTTTATTAATATAAATGCTTTGCTTTCTCAAAAGAAATTGTGTTGAATGGTATCAATATTGAGGTATTTTGCTTTTATGAATAGTTTCATAATAGAGTTTTCCTAGAATTCTTTATTTTTATCTTTCACTTGATAATAACTGCTCAACTTAAATATATATATACATATATATATATATATAGTGTCCATGTAAATTTTTGACAAAATTATTCCATTGCTTAAAAATTTTAGAAATCTGTTTTGTTTTCTACCAATGCTTCCTAATTGTTGAAAAGATATGGAAACAAAAGTAATATGTTTTCAAGGTTATATATCTAAATTTCATGGTAAAATATGTTTCTGAGTACTGTCCTTTATATAAAACATCCCTTTATTCAGCAAATATTTAACCAAATATTCTTTATATAACATAATCTGTGATATGTGCCTAGAATAAAGATATAACCAAAGCATCCCTATCTATTCCTGGTTAGTTATAATGTGAAAAAGCCAGAAAATAAGTGGCTCCCTTCATAAAAAAACAAAAATATATGTACTTCAGGGATACAAAGAAGACCTATCTCTTTCTAAAGTGAACAGAATGGAAAAGAGAGAGAACCATGATTTTAAATGGGAGAAGCCAAATATTTCTTAGCCAGATGCTCAAAGTCATGATCAACAGGCATAAATCATGCTAATCATAAAATCTTTGATATGGTATAGTGAAAATCACTCTTTTCTTCTGGTCTTCCTCCCAACAGCCTATATCTGCAATATTACAAGCAAATCATCAAAGTGTGGGAACCTACAAAATAGTGTAATCAATACTCCTTAAAATTGTCAGTCATCAAAGGCTGAGAAACTGCCACCACTAAGAAGAATCTCAATAAAAACAAGAACTAATGTAATGTGATATCTAAATGGGATCCTAGAATAGATAAGACACTGGATAAAAATGAAGAAAACCTTAAACAGTATGGGCTTTTGTTAATAAGGATATAGTATTATTATTTAACCAATTGTCATGAATGCATTGTTTATGTTCATGGAAATATTACTAAAAGGGAAATCTGATTATGGGATATATGGATACTTTATGTACTATCTTCTCAATTTTCTTGTTCTACATTGTTCTAAAAAGCCTAAAGTTATTTTAAAAATAAAGTCTGTTTCAAAAGTGTCCCTAAAATAAGAAAGCCCTGTTTTAAACGGTGAGAAGATGTCAGATAAAGAATGGAGATACAAGTGTTTCTGGTATGAAGAAATCTGTCCAGGAAGAAAAAATAGGTGTAAATGTAGAGTAGCAAGGGGATGTTCAGAGAACTAATGAGTGGGTAGATAGGGCTCAAATTCCACTTGGAGCAAGGTACATTTGCAACTTACAATTTTTTCACTTTGGAATAAATCTGTTAGTTTCCTGAATCTACCACTCAACAGGTACATTGTTTTGGGCAAGTCATTTGTTCCCTCTGAGATTCTAAT